TGCTGCAGCTGCCTCGTACAGAATCGGCAGCAGCAAGTTCTGCGAAAGCTGCGTCATGTGGCAGGGGCTGTACTTGTCTTTGTAAGTGACCCGTCCGTCAGGAAGGGTCACCTCCTCGCAGCCTGTAGCAGCAGCAGCAGCAGCAGCAGCAGCAGCAGTACGTGCAGCAACAGCCAGTTCTGAAGCTCGAGCACTCTACAGTGCAACAACGAACGACCAGCAATCCGCAGTGAACAACCGTAATAGCAGCGGCAGCAGCAGCAGCAGCAGCGAATCAAAGAAGGGCAGCAACAGCTGGCTTCGCAACGCATGCTGCAGTGGCAACAGCAGACAAAACTGCACGCTGCAGCAGCAAAAGCAGCTAGGCAGCATGCACAGCAGCAGCCATAGCAGGTGAACAGCATGCAGCAGCAGCAGGAACATCAGCTGGCCAGCACCGAGTAGCAACAGCAGCAGCAGCAGCCGCTGGAGAACACGCAGCAGGAGCAACACCGAAAGCAGCTGGAAAGCCCGCAGCAGCAGCAGCAACAACAACAAACCAAGAACAACAACAACACCAACAACAACACCAACCACAACAGCAGCAGCAGGAGCAACAGCAGCAGCAGCAGCAGCAGCAGCAGCAGCAGACCGTGGAAGTGGTCGACGGCGCCCAAGCAGTGCTTGCTGACAGCAGCTAGCTGCGAGGTGTAGAGGAAGCAGCGCCAGTCCGCCAGCGAAGGCGCTGCTGCTTCCACCTGCAGGTCCAGGTGCCCCAGCTGCCGCCAAACTGAACAACACAAGCACCAGCTTCACAGCTAGCTGGCTAGCCACTGGCTAGCTGGCCGGTAGCTGGCTAGTCACTGGCTTTCCACTGGCTAGCCGGCTAGCCACTCGCTAGCTGGCCGCTTGCTGGCTAGCCACTGGCTTGCACTGGCTAGCTAACGGCTCGCTGGCTAGACGCTGGCTGGCTAGCCACTGGCTTGCTGGCCGCCAGCTGGCTAGCCAGTGGCTATCTGGCCGCTGGCTGGCTAGCCAGTGGCTAGCTAGCCGCTAGTTGGCCAGTCACTGGCTAGATAGCCCCTAGCTGGCTAGCCAGTGGCTAGCTAGATCCTATTTGGCTAGCCAATAGCTAGCTAGGCGCTGGCTGGCTAGCCAGTGGCTAGCTGGCCGCAAGTTGACTAGCTGGTGGCTAGCTAGCCACTAGCTGCCCGCTAGCCAGCTAGCAGCTAGCTAGCTGCTAGCTAGCCGCTAGCTAGCCGCTGGCTAGAGGCTAGCTAGCCAGCTCCCAGCCCGTTGCCTGCCCTCCTGGCTAGCCAGCCACTGGGCTATCCACCCTGGAAAGGATGGCTAGCTCAGTGGCTGGCTAGCGGATAGCTAGGTGGCTAGCTAGCTAGCTGGGTTGCTAGCTAGATAGCTAGCCAGTTGCTTGTAGGGCTAGCTAGCTTACGGCTAGCCATGTGCCCGTTAGCTAGCTAGCTATCTAGCTGGCTAGCAAGCTATAAAGCTAGCTAGCTGGCTAGCTAGCTAGCTAGATAATAGGCAGCGGCTCGGAGCCCACAGATCAGGCGTGGCTATGCATGCAGTGTGTTGACGGCCCAGCAGCAGCAGCAACAGCAGCAGCAGCAGCGCAGCAGAAGAAACAGCAACAGCAGCAGTAGCAGCGTGGAAGCAGCAGGGACAGCAGCAGCACAAGCAGAGACAGCAGCACAGCAGCAGCAACAAAAACACCAGAAGAACCAGCAGTGACAGCAGCAGCAACAAAGACAGCAGCAGCAGCAGCAGCAGCAGCA